AGCCCCTCAACTCATTTCAATATAGTTTCTTGGCGCCTAAACACTAAATTCCATATTGTATGCATACATAGGCTCCCGAAATGTTTAGTATGTGTTCAAATTTTAATTGTATTTGAAAACTGCTTCAGAACTGGGGTTCACAGCGTGAATTATTTTGAGCCACGCCTCCAAATGGCCGCCATGCAAATGCGTCACCACAAGCGAGCGTCCAAGGAAGCAACTTTCACTTCCCGTCCGCGCAGGTCTTTCGTATGGCAGCCACACGGTCGGCTTCACCCCACCAGCCACTCTGTCCAGAGCCGCCATCTCGCACTACAACACCCCCGCCCTGCACGTCCACGGAAGCTCCTCCCACTCTGTAGCGGTGAGCCGCGGGCGCCCGCACACGTCTGGGCAGCTGCGTTTTCTTTTTCATTGACGTTTTGAAGGCACTTGCTTCAGCTCGGCGTTTTTTCATGTTGGTGATTTGTTTTCTTTTCTCTCTCTCTCCCGCAGAGGCCCTCGCCAAGGAGAAGCACCAGCCCCGACAAATTCAAACGTCCGACCCCCCCGCCGTCCCCCAACACACACTCAGGAGCCCTGCAGCCTCAGCCTCCGCTGCCCCCGCCGGCCCAGCCCATGGTCCAGTCCATGTCCTCCCCGGCGGCCATGTCTCAGCAAGCCGCCGGGGCGCAGGCGCCTCCCTCCCAGCCTTAACACCACACGCTCGCTAGCTAGCTCGCACGCACGCACACACCCACACCCGTCTCCGTCTTGGGGCGCACGACGGCGCCCGCCGGATGCCGCGACGTCAAAACACCGCAGCAGCTTCCATCATTAGCAAGCTCTGGAAGAAGCGCTCAGAAGCAGCTTAGAAAATTTTTAAAGAGGAGAGAAGCGACGCGGCCGCGACGCCGGCCGGCTGAAATGCACGCGTCGGCATTTTCCCAATTGCTCTTAAATGGAATGGATGTACTGAAAAATAATCGCTTCTGGGACTCCGTAGGCCAATTATCCGTTCCGCCCGCCCGTCGTGTGTGTATTGGGTTTGTTTTTGTTTTTTTCTTTGCTTTGGTCGGATCTCGAGCCGGTTGGAATTGTTGTTGTGACGCTTTTCAGATAGCTCAAACAGCACAGAGCTTTACGGCGGCTTTTTTTTTGCTGTTGTTTTGTTTTGCGATCGATGGATGTTTGGGTCAGCAGATGGATGTATGGCTGTCTCTGTGGATGTGATCGATTATCTTTACGCCTTACAATGTGGCACTCGGTTGCAGTCATGTCTATTACACCCCCCCCACCACCACCACCACCGCACACAGACACTACCACCGGCCCTCTTCATCCGTTCGACAATTACGCGGTTCGCTCGAGTTTATTAGCAAGTTCGGCCGAGATGTGTCATAGAAGACCCACCGGGCGGTCTTCGTCGTAGTGTGTTCAACACGTAGCTCGCATCGCCGCTATTTTTGTTCCTGCAGAGGTCTCGTTCAAGTAAATTTGGGGGAGGGAAAGCTGCGGATGTGCGGATCCTCCCTGAGGATGCGCGCTGGTACATCAACCACAGATAAATGTCGCCTTTAAGTTGTTCAATAACAATGTAGTCTAAGGTGTTACTTCGTCATGTACTCTTGGCTCTTCTCTCTCTCTCTCTCTGGTGTATTTCTCAATGCTTTATCATCATCGGATAATGGCAAAAAGATAAATAAAAATACACATTGTGCTCTTTACACTAAATATACATACTGCTCAAACATTCGAAATGAATGGTACTGTCAAACTAAATTTCTATGTATGATTAAAATCTCTTGAGATGAAAACTTTGGGTTTTCGTTTGTGGGAAGCATCCAGCTTTTTTTTCACGGCGCCACTTGTCGCCTTCTCAGCAAACGATTTCATCTGAGTGGATTTTGAAAGACATCCACCTAACCTTGTCATTTGGCACTTTTCCACTCTGTTGCCACTTCATATCACAAATGTCACCATCAAAAGAAATGCAAGAAAGCAGGCTGCAACTGTGCCATGTACAGGTAAATCATTTCGAGCAGTAAATATCTAGCAATGTAGAAAAAAAAAAACTAACTCGAGCCCTGTGAGGACAAATTTGAAATCTGATTCGTTGAAGAAATGGCCCAACTGAAATGTAGTGATTGTGAATGCCCTCGGCAGATTAGATGAACACGCCAACACACTGACGCTAAAATCTGAGTCTGGAAAAAAAAATATCAAGACAAGCACTATGAAATGAAGAGAAGGAACAACCGTTAGATACAAACATCCATTTTCATGGAAAAACATGTTCGAGTTGTTTGTAAATGTGGTTAAGTGCCGCTATGTTGATCATCAAGTGTTAACAATAAGAAATATTGGCCGACAGCATCCACCCTGCTGTCTTTTCAAAGGAACTTTGGGTTCAATCCCCCCCCCCCCCCCCCCCCAAAAGACACTTTGGTTCTCACGATCAATCCTCTGCTCATCTTACCATGATGCGCAGGAACCTTTAGGGGGCCCAGGAGGGCAGCTCCTTCGAGCCCTCCCGTCGGCTCCTACGAAACCACCTCAAGTTGCCTTTTGTAATGCACGCGCGAGTCTCACCGATTTATTTTTCTGCATTTCCCTACTGGAGCGTGTGATCTGTGTTTCTCTTCCAGTGCCTGTAGCAGTTGGGCTCTCCCTGTCCAACCCCCCCACACCCCACCCCAATGGGAGAGAACAGCAGGCTGCAGCGGCTCCTGTGTTGCTCTCAGAGAGGTGAAGGCCAATCTCATGTAACAATCTGCAGGAGACCGCTGACGTTTGTGCTCTAGATTTTAGTCGGCCCGTGCTGTGAGCTTGCCGCAGATCCAAGTGGAACAATACACTTTGTATGTCATACTGTATCAACTTATACTATTACATATGATTTTGAAAGAAAAAAAAAAAAGTATTTTGGTTGAAGTCGAAGAGTTACGAGATGTCAGACTAACCGCTATTTGCTTTGTCGATTACGACACAGAGCCACTTTTCGTTTAATGGGACACGGGTCACAATAAGTAGCATGTAGGCATGAACTCATCTTCAAAAATAAGTTTCACGTTCTTTATTGCCACTCCCGCTTGTGTTTACTGTCAAGTAAACCTAAAACAAAGAGTTACACCTCCCGTATTTAAGACAACCATTGTCTGCTAGCTTAATGCTAACGCTAACCTACTGTATGTTGTGGTGCTATAACTGTCTCTTTTTACATTAAGTACCACCTGAAGAAAAACTTGTCTCCCCAAGTACCACCAAAATCACCAACATCCTGAAGTACCCCCAAAATAACCAACATAAAAATATAGTTTCTAGTAGGCCCAAGTATTCACATACTATTCCCCAAAATCCACAATGTAACAGCAGATGACTGAACTCTACTTTTCAACACGCATACACACTGTAGGTGTCAATCCCTCGAGTGGGAGTCCCCATCCTGAGAACGCGTAACGAAATAATTGGCATTTGCGAATTGTTTCAAGTGAAATGATTTCATGGTTCAAGTTGCGGCACGGTTGAAAAAGAATTCACAACGTCGCCACAACCTTCATGAGGTCACATATCGTTGGGTTGCATAGGAACTCAACCTGATGAAGGAAAGCCAACAAAGCCCCTCTGGCGGGACGGGGGGGGGGGTACATTGGGGGTGGTGGAAGATAAAATTCCTCTGGGCTTTTGCCGCTCCCACGGCGGCGCTTTGCTCTATTTTCCAGAAAAGAATTAGGCCCTGTAATCCCCCTCCTGCCAGGAAAAGTGACAGGAACAAGAGGCATTTGCGCTCACACTGGCTTTAAAGTGACATGTTGCCTCTGACCAGTTCGAACCAGATGGAGAGCATGTGCACAAGCTGGCCAGGTGGTCATGTGCAGGAAGCTGAAGGAGGCGCTTCAAACATTGGACGCACCCGTGACTCATCAACAAAACATCAAAGGTTATTCTCTTATGGCTTTATTCAACAACAACAGCAAGGGTAGAAATAACCGTCCGTCCAATAGAAAGGAAGGGAAAAATATGACAGTATATAAAGATCCGGATGATATCACATTAACCATTGTCATCCAAAACACGTCATCTCAAGTATCAAACTGGGATGTGATTTCAGGTCAACAATTGGCTTCTTTCTTTGACCGAGATCATAAAGACGATAAGCTGTTTGGTTCATGACGCCCTTTGAAAATTGGCCGTGACAACACGAAAACTGTCATCAGGGTTACAGTTTAAACGCATTAACACGCAACGCCCATTTTTTTTTTCCTGCAATGTATTCAGTGCAGCGTCGAACTTGTCGTGTAAAATTTGCTAATTGATTATAACTCAACACACAGCCATTAATTCAGCTCGGGTCCAGAGTTCAGAGTAAATATGGTGAAGCAGCACTTTGCTGTTACGCCGCAAGCAATGGAATAATAAGCTGCCGACACAAGTGGAGTCATCGCCAACTGTAAATGTTTTCCAGTAAGGTTTCCCCACACCTGCTATTCAGGTCTTTGAAAACATTTTTTTTTAATCCATAATCATGTTCTTACAACTGTACATTCGGATAGTAATTTTAATTAGCTACTTTTTTATTTCATTAGTCTACTTTTTAATGTCTTTAACTCTTTTGGTTGTAAATGCTTTTAAATGTTGTACTTATGTGAGGCACATTGTGTCTGAAATGCACTATATCAGTAAAGCTGCAAAAGTGAGTACACCCCTGAGTGAGAAAGTGTTTTGCTACCATGTGGTCACCATCAGTGTACGCTTTGTGTAACACTATAAAAATGATCTCTTTTCACCACGCAGGCAAGAAAAACGAGTACACCCCTACACGAGATTGCATAAATTACCTGTAGAAGATCTGTAAGTACAGACGTTTTACCTGTGTGGAGAGTTCTCTCCTTCCACCAAAACAAACTCGTGCTTCTATTCCCACTTTGCACGTGTACAAGTGAACTTCATGTCCTCATATCATTGCTGTCTTTTTTTTGGCCCACCCCTTTAACATTTTCGGTCGCCTATCAGGTCGATATTAATCATTCATTATTTGTAAAAGCAGGTGTGTCGTGCCTGACTCATAAAACAAAAAAAAAAAAACACAGCATCCGCGTGCTTACGGTTAGCCGCGCTCCTGCAGGCCGGCGAGAACAGCTTCGAACCGGTTTGCTCGCCGGCCACAAAGCGGTCACAAAACGAGAAAAAGAAGGAGGGAGGAGAAGGCGGAGGAGGCGCAGTGCGCTGATGCTCGGCCTCCAGTTGACACCTCCTCTACGAGACGTCACCAAAATAACGGCGAGGTGGTTTTGTTTTTTTTCCCCCCTACTACAAAAGCGCAGGTCGTTTTCCCATCCAGGAGTCTCTCTCCATCCTACATGGAAAGTTGCCGCGGACGAGCGCGTATCGCCACCGCGAGCAGCGGCTGCTGTTGAGGTGAGTGCCGGCGTGGAATCTTCAAAACAAAACAAAGACACGAAGGGGGGGGGGGGGAGAGAAAAAACCCCGAAAACATCTGTTTCTATTCTTGTGCCCCGGAAGGCTCTCGTGCGTTGTCTTTAGCTGTAATCTGACGAACCGTGACAAATGACAGAGAGCCTGCGCTGTTTTGTCTTTGCGTTGTCAACAAAGCGCGCCTGAAGGCTGAACGCTGATGTTGCTGCAGTGGTGCGTTCGCAAAACGGGCTGGGACGAAAAGCAGGCCGACGCTTTTTCAAATCAATTGATTTGGAGGAAGGATGGAAGCACGTTGTGACTTCCAAGTTACCTTACACTGCTTTTGAAACGTTCCCCCTTGAATAAAAGCACCAAGCCTATTTTGAAACTCTAAATCTGTCTTCAAACCTTAACCCTTATCCGAAATCCCCACAGCGGTTCTGACACCCCTCATTTGAAACCCTGACCCGGCCTGTTATCCTATCCCAGGCTTGAAACCATAATTTAAAACCCGAACTATAAAACCAGAACCTATACCGGTACGAGTATCGACACCTGTCGTACTTTTGATAGCTAAAAAATTAAATTCAACACAATGGTGAAAATTTGTTGCATGGTAATTCTTCAACTATTGCGGTATAGTGCCAACTACTGAAGAGAAGTCAGATTTTTTTTTTTTTGCCTTAAGTATCAGTGGCTAGTATCGGGAGCCTCCATAAGTACACAATATCTTATAACAATGCCGGTCTTGACCCGATAGTGACACCTAATTTTGGTGCTCGCCCATCCCTACTTGAAACCCTAATCCTGCCTTGAAACCATGCTCTTAAACATTCCAGGAGGACCTGATATTTGCCTTGAAAGTTTACCTTGCTTGAAACAACTGCAACTGAAAGGGTTCATCTTGAAACCTTGCAATGAAATTGCTACAGGTTGCAATTTGTGTGTGGCCATTTTCAGCAACGTTTTGAAGACTGTTGAAATGTTGAAGGACATTTGGAGAAAATGAGAATGTGTTTCGTAAATGTAACTAATTGTTGCGAGTCAAGATAAAGATGCTGGCCGCACACAGCAGCAAGACTACCCCCCCCCCCCAACTCCCCAACTTTCCCCTCCTCCAAGGTGTGGTTACAAGCACAAAAAGTGCACTGGCTTTGTCCTCAGAGACACATCGAGGTGGCGGCCTCCGAGTGTTGCGCTTTGCAAAAGATGCCGGCTAATTAATTTGTCCACCCCGCGCACACACACACACACACAGGTAGCCACTTCCTCACCCAGCGGGCAGCAGCGACATCGCCGACATGGCTTCCAGAGCGCTGGACGGCGGCTGGGGATGGGCGATCGTGGTGGCCTCCTTCCTGGCCCAGCTGCTGGCTTACGGCTCCCCGCAGTCGGTGGGCGTCCTCTACCCGGAGTGGCTGCACGCCTTCCAGGAGGGCAAGGGCCTGACGGCCTGGGTGGGCTCCCTGGTGGCCGGAGTGGGCCTCATTGCTAGTGAGTACCACACAGTCGCTCGCCTTAATGCACGATCCAATGTGAAGTCCGCTGACTTTGTCAGAAATAGATTCCCTGAATACTTTGTGCTTGCGATTGCTGTTTCTTATAGATTGGTTGCATTATTTTGCTACACAACTGGCAAAACAAAATCTATAATGATCTAGCTGTCAGTAGACCACTATCATAAAGCTTGGGAAATGGGGGGGGGGGGGTAACAGTCACAAAGGACAATCAAAGAATTTTCACTCGTGGCAGCAGCACTTCATTCACTCGTTACTGTAAGGCAAGGATCAGCAACCTTTTTCAAACTGAGAGCAACTTCCTGTCACTGAATAATTGACCCATTAAAACCGCATCGTACATGTATAAAACGGACTAAATGGAATTAAAGTGAAAATGTTATTTGCGTTTCACTTTGGAAAGAACATTCAGCAAACCTGAAATTTCAGGGTTGATTTTAAATGAACTCGAATTAAGGTCAAATTGTTGTTTGGAAATTGTTGTTGACTTTGTTGCACGCTACTCCTCGTGACCTTTTTTCCATCCTTAACTCAACAAACAAAACCTGTTTTTTTAAATATCTAATTATAGCAATAAAGCCTAAACTAAAACAAAACACTTTTGAAAAATAAACAAATGTCTCTAAACACTCATTAAAATAACCCGAATTTGGGGGGGGGGAGGCAAAATTTAAGCACTAGAGCTTTGTCTCTGATAGTAGATCTTCTTTTAGATTGTGCAGGAGTTATCTCAATTTGTGCGTGAATGCCAGTTATGGTCGACGGTCGATTACAAAAGAGCGGCTGCTCCCTCACAGTAACCAATGGATGTTTTGGCCTGTCCTTTTATGATTTGGCACCATCATCTGCTGACATGGCGCGATGATGCCAATCGCGCTCCTAAAAAGTAGCGCACTAAAGCGTCACCTTTACACCCGACCTTGTTTCCGTCCGCTTGCGATGCCGTTGATAAAAGCAGACAACGGACGCTCGGAGGGATTAAAAATGACGGCGGTGAGCCACGGGTGTTTTCTGCAGCGTTTGCAACAGGGAGGAAAGGGAAACGAGACGTCACTTTGATGAGCACTTAGTGGCTCCCTGGCTTGAGCTGAGCCGTCGCGATTGAGTTGACATGGAAAAGCAAACAAGCAGGAGTGAGAAGATTGCTTTCGAACCACATGGAAGTGGGGGCAAACAGTGGTGTCAAAAGGAGAAGCACTGATGCAAATACATATTTGGAACCAAAATGTCAACGCCGGGTCAAACAGTCAACAAGTCGCAGGCAAAGATGAAACTGACAAGGAAAATAAATGCAAAACGACTACACGATGAAAACAAAAAACTGTTATCTTCCTTCCAGGATTAACATTTGTAGAATGCCAAGTGTGCAAGATTTTGAGTTTGATAGGTTTGATAGTTTCTTGGTAAATGTCTGTTGTACTTGCATACACTTGCAAGCACTTTTAGACCAGTCTCTCGATGCAGAGGATAAAGAGTATGACCATGTATGTATGTATGTACGTATGTGTGTGTGTGTGTGTGGGTGTGGGTGTGGGTATATTAAAAAATACAGAGGAAAAATCCATTTGATCCATCTCTGGATCTGTGGGTTGCGGTATGAATCAAGGACAGAACGTCTCCAAGTGTAACGATTGCAAGGCGCTTTACTTTCATCCAAAACAATTTTCCAATTCAAATTGGCTTTCGATGACAGAGCAGAGGGAACCCGCCTACCGTCTCGCGGTCTGCTGCCAAGAGGACTGACGGAGGTGATTCAGAGCAGGCAGACCTGGCAACGGGCCTGGTCAGGTTCGGGGCCAACGTGACCCAGCTGCAGCACTGCTGCACGTAAATGATGTGCAGCACACAAAATACTTTGGGGAGTGCCAAGATCTTTTGGTCCTCGGGGGCTTTTTCTTTGGCTTCTTCAGAAAGATTTTTCAGCACTTCTGTAAGGTTCCTTTTGCCTCTAAAATTAAACTGCATACACCCCCCCCCCCCCCCCAGCCCCCTGCTTAGGGCCCGGGCTCGGGCCCTGC